CGGATAGAGAAGTCAGCGTTTTCCTGGGAGACCTTCCCACTTCACCAGCTACTACTATCTTAATCTGGTCTCCATTACAACCACATTTATCTAGATTGCATCAGGTTGCCCTTCTACAAATCTCTCAAAGCTCCCATCATATGATAGTTAACACACGGTGGGCATTTTGCTGAATAGCTCCTGCTGTCCCTCTGAATGACTCGGATTAACGCAGTCACGTTACTTTCAATTTACATGCAAGTCCATTCAAAGGACAGGTTTCGCTTTGTGTTAAAACAATTCCAATTTAGCCCTTCTGGATAATGTGATTTTGGGCAATCTAAGTAAGATGTTCCCAATCTTTCACTCGACACGCAGTCATGCTCAGTGGACAAATCTATTAGAGGCCAGACACTATACTGTCCCATCAATATGCAAATTCAGCAGAACTGGAAATAAGCCTATTGGTTTTGACAAAATGATATTGTCGCAGAGATGCAACTCAGCAAATGAGATGGAGGAACGAGGAGGGGTGCAGACACAGAGGTGAGGTGGATGTATGGAGGGGGAGAGGGAAGACAAAAAGAGAGACAGGAAAAGAGGGAGGGAGGAAGAGAGAGAGAGAGAGAGATGCAAATCCCATGGCAACAGCAACCAGAAAACAAGTCTAAAATAGGGGGCAGTGTCCGCTATTACTATAGCAACAGGAGAAAAGCACATTCACTCAGCCTTGGGATTTGCTGAATGGAGAAAAACAAAGATATAATCCTCACGTAATTAAAATCGACAGTTATTACCACTAAATCAATTTGCATCCGCCAGCTTTGTCTCACTAAATTAGCCTGGGAAGTAAGGACTCTCAAAAGTAGCCAATAATATAATAACAGTGAATAATAAGGGGATGAATATCTTATATTATTCAGTTATTCAGTGTAATGGAACATAGCCTATTAAATTAAATCCTATATATATATATATAATAAAGTAATTAGACCGCATACCTATGATGACAACGTAGAAGACTATATAGAAGTTATAATATTTGTATATGAATAGACTTCAGAGAAACTCTATATCTTAAGTGTATAAAGACATTCACTGTCATTGTGTTTGCTCAACTGTATAATCAATCAGACAGACTCATTACCACAAGCTGTTTGGTGAAAGTGTTACACAAAAAGCTTTTCTCAGCTTTCAAAGCTGCAGCACTCATATCCACGCCCGGTTTGTTTACCTGAACCATGTGCACAGTCTGCAGTGCAGAAAAAAATATTACAACCGAGTGATGCTCTGCCTTGCCTACCACCGACCAATCAAATTTTACATGTAGCCGAATCCAACCAATGACAGAGCCGCGGTCTGAGCAGGAGCAGCCAATCGCTCTGAGCGTAGACCACTGATGCAACGGAGATGCAACAGACTTCTAACTGAACAACAACGTCTGTTGTGAATTAAATAATACCCCTATCAAAACAATACCATGCCAAATAAAGTACATAAAGTAAGTCTCTGAACTGTACTGGTGTGTGAGAGAGTTGTGGTCACGTAAAGCAAGGTTATCAGCAGCTAATCAAGCTAGGAAACAAATGTCACTGTCCCTACTTCTCCGTTGTCTCTATAGCAACAGCGGGTTATAGGTAAAACAAACGACAACGCGTTACATAATGTGATTACTTTCAGATTACCACTGACTGAGTTACGAAATATACAACAAGTCTGACTTGTTACTTCACTTTTGCTTGGAAAAGTCCCGTTTCATAGAATTATGAGCCAAAATGTGTTACTCCTCTTACTAAACGCGTATCTTTTAAGTTTTTTAACTAGTCTGGGGGACCAAAATGCTCTCCATGGACCATTATCTACTGCACACGGTAGTTTTGTTTCAGGGCTTATTTTCCATTTACTTTTTTCCGGTTATGTTTCCTTTTAACTCATCGCAAAGGTATAAGCAGCACCACCACCATGTTGTGGCTGTATTAAAACAAAACTTTAATAAATTGCAAATAAACCTACTATATTAAATGTACGCTCGGCTCTACTTTTGAAACAGGCATTAAGAAACAGTAACTATTCTTTCGAACGGAGAGTTTGTGGGACGTCCTTCGGTGACACGCTGAGGCAGGGGGCGGAGGGATCTGCTCTCAGCAGCACGCTCTGCCTGGTGACGCAGTTGGTTGCTAGGTGTGAATGAACTGATGCTTTCTCACAATTAAACAGCTCCTCAGTTTACAGGTCGACCACAACAAAGCAACAACTAGTCCTTTTTTGCGGATATTCCGAGCCAAAAGATGGCTCTTTGAACTCGTGAAGTTTTCGGACCCGTGAATAAACCGTGCCTTGCTTCAGCAACGCACCTCAAGTGCTCTACCTTTTTTTCTGCAAGAATGGAGTAAGTCAAACTACTCGTTATTGATACAGCTGTGTCAAGTTTGTTTTTGTGTGGTTGTTTGTGTGTCTCCAGAGGTCCGTTATTTCACTGGTTTCTCCGCTTTAAACATGTTTTTATATATTTATAGACTATTTGCCTGAATATCCAATGCTTTTTAAGAGCGTTGCATCGAGATTTAAATCAGTTTTGGGTTATTTTGCTAACAGAGCGTTTGAGGATTATTATGTAAATGTGTAGCCTTCATCCTATGTTATGTACACTTAAGATACAGTAGCAGATTAACCTACATCCACTTTCAGATTCACACCTTGCCAAGTTTGCATTTAGATACCACATTATTGTCACCTAAGCTGTTTAGCTGATCAAACATGTGATTATTTAAAAGGAACACGGGATTTGTAGCAGTTGATCTGCAATAATCCCATTTAATGCTCAGGTTGTCTCGGTTGTCTCTCACTCAAGAGTTACTGTACTATTGAGCTTCTTGACAACAGTTGGGCAGCGTCACTGGGTCCCACGTGCTTTGAGGGCGTCAAGTGCATTTTTCAAAGCTCAAAGGACTCAGCTATCACTTGTGTATCACTGACTGTGTCAACTCCAAGGGTTAGTTTTGGAAATAGTTTGTTTTCAATTTTATTATCATTAACATTTGTTTTGTATGTTTATGTTTTGAAGAGTTATTAACCTTATTGCTCAAAACGCCACGATTATTTAATGATGACCTTCAGAGGATTTCTTAATTGTGACACCTCCTTAAAAAGCAGCATCTGAAAAACTTGCTAAGTGCAGCAAGAGTGACATTCCTGATTCCCAGTCGACGAAATAAGTTGTTGTCTTTTTAGCAGCATGTCTCTGATCCATGTTTCTGTTTACCTTCCAGGTTTCATTATGCACACCCTGCCCTGCTCTCTGTGGCCCATCTGTCAGACGCTGCTTGCTCTCAGCATATGCTTGGACTTGGACTGAATCAAAGCACCATCAGACAATATGATGGCAACATCAGCTCCTGTTTGGAAGACTCTTCGTGTCTACCCGGCAGACCCCCTCGCTCTCTCTCACCCACAGGCTAACCACAGCCAATCACAGGGGTACAGGGGGGAGGTGTCAGAGGAGACTCAGCACTTAATTGGTGAGTTGCAGCGAGTACGCTTTTTTATATTTTTCCCCGTTCCAGGTGGGATCGGCACTGCAGCACATTCGTCCTTCTCGAACAGTAAGTTAAAAACTAGCTACGCCTAATACGTTGATGAGCTACAACTATCATTTTAAGAAATCTGGCTTTGCATTTACAGATTATGCAGATAAAAAAAACAGCTACCTGCAGTTTGCTATTTTTATAGCGTTTGCACGAACTAGGTTATTTAGCATCTAACGATTGCAATTTTTTCCTCTCCTCGATAGGTGATGGTCTCACTGGCTGGATGACGGAAGAAGTGGATTTCTCCTCGTACCTCCCAAACCCTCCTTCCCCTCCCTCCTCCACCAATGCCTCCCTTCCCCCTTCACCCCTTCAGAATGATATCCAGGTGCCCTCGGACTTGGAGGTCATGACCTCTCTGCTGCAAGAGGAACTGGCCCAACTAGAGGACTACTTCCTGTCTGAACCACTGCCAGAGAAAGGGCCGAGGCTGGGAAAATGGGACAGGGGTCCACTGCCGACGGGTCCTCAGCCGTTCACTCAGCTGCCATACGCATCATACTCCACGTCCAACCAATCGGAATCCAGCCCACTTCTTGTTACCCTGGCAACCGGTGAACTGGACCTGCTGAGCATCTGTGGCGGGCCCATTGGGCGATCCAAAATTCCAAGACACGCCCCGTATAGCGTCAGTCGCCCCACCGGGTGTGTGAGGAAAAGAGTTCCTGACGGGACAAGGTTCCACGAGGGCTATGATAACAGTTTGTTGAGTTCCAAAGGAAGTAACTCAGGTAACTCGGCCGTGACCCTCACCGGTAGCTACGACTGTGTAGAGGACGAGCAGCTGCTAGGGAAAAGCTACTGTCTGGGTAGTGCAGTCGAGGTCAGAAGATGTGCCGCTCTACCAAAAGACGAGAAAAATTGCTGTTTCAGTCAAGATGTCATAGGTGGTTCCAAAGTTGTCGGCGGTGGATTTGGTTTTGGCGTATCACTTGATGTCCCGCACAAAAAAGAGGATCTGCTGATGTATAGCATGAGGGAGGTCGGCGGAGTCACCGGTAACAACGAGGTGCTGAATAATATCAAAGCTAGCATGGAGGTCACCAAAGCCTCATGGAAGACAGAGAGCAGTGAAGGTTGTTATCTTCCAGCAGCACCGCAGTCAGAGGCCTTTCATAGCTTCTTAGGCAATATCAACGAACAGGTGAAATCAGAGAGTCTACGGATAGGGCAGCATGATTTGCACTGTAATTTCCTGGAGGATCAGGGCCCAGAGTGTCTTTTAATGTCTAGGGAGAGTCTGAACATGGAGTCTCCGTGTCACAGACAAGCATGCAGGCTAAATGAAGAAGACCACTGTGCTTTAAACTACGAAGACGACCTCATTCCAGGTGAAGGCGGCGAGCGCAAACAGAAGAAGAGAGATCAGAACAAAACTGCCGCTCACAGGTACGTTTTCCTTTCTGCGTTACAAAAGACACTTTTTTAAAGATTATTTCACAGGTCAATTAATGTAATCTGTTTTGCTTAACGCAGGTATCGCCAGAGAAAAAGGGTGGAGCTTGATACTTTGGAGGGACAGTTGCATGGCCTTGAAGGGAGGAACCGGGAGCTCCGGGACAAGGCAGAGTCGGTAGAACGTGAAATCCAGTACGTCAAAGACCTGCTGATTGAAGTTTACAAGGCCCGCAGCCAAAGGCTCAAGCAGGACACAACAGCGTAACACCGAGCTCCTGCAAGTATATTTAAAGAGGGCGTAGCAGGGAAGATGTGGCGCCTTTTTGTGTCTTTAAGATTGTCCAGAAGTGAATGTTTGAATTTTTTTGAAATGCATGCTTTGCTAACGTGAATTATTTTTGACAGTTAAAACCAACACTTTATCCGATGCGTCCATTGCTTTCGCTCTCTCTAATCACTTGAGCCTGCACTGTGGCATTGCAATGCTTTAAATGACAATCAATTAAAAAAGATATTGCACTGCGTGGATCTACTAATTGAAGTACAGTTATTTCTGGGAAAGTACCTTTTTTTCATTATGCGGGTTTAATCATTTAACAGCCTTACATTTGAATTGATGTCAGCAATAGAAATTCATATTTTTTTCAAATTTACAATAACTGTACTATACTTTTTAATAGTTGAGGTTGTTAAACATGTGGTTGGTGTCACTATGTGAAACTGCATCGCTTCCTTTTTGATTTCATCTTTTAAACCAAATACTTTTCTACAATCATTTTCTCGCATCGCTTGTACAGCAAATGTTATTTTAACTGCTTTGAATATTTTAAAATACTCGAATTGGGCTTGAAGATGTATTGACTTTTACAATTGCGGCTAATGTAAAGAAGAGCACAAAATAAATGTATTCAACCTTAACTATTGGTTGGCAATTTTAATAAAGTTTTTGGACAATTTATTTTAGGGGTAGGTAAGAATGGAGAAACCAGCTCGAGTGCGCTAGAATTTGAAACTACGCAGCCGAAAAAAATCTGCCCCTTCCTTCAGACTTTCAGAGCCCCTCCTCCAACACACACGAATCAGCATTTCAGGGAATATAACAAAAAGTGTTTCTGAAGTGACTTACCTACCCCACCTTTAAGGTTAAACAAACCAAAATATTTATTTGTTTGAGTTTTTTTTATGTTTTAAGAATGTAATTCCTTTTTTTCTTATTTATTTTACTGAATGTCAAACATTTAGATTTTACCCTGCTTTGTTGGAAACATTATTTCGTCCACTGTATTTACATTTGTATTTTTTTTCCTGATATTTGCATTACTTTGAATGTAACAAATGACTCGTTTTTTTCCAAATTATAAATTTGTGACCAAAAAAGTTGATCAAGTGATACTGTTAAAGGAGGAAACTGAAATGTGATTGTGTTTGTGCGGTATTTGTATAAATGTCTTCTATTGCAAATTATACAATCTACTTTGCAGCTCAGGATATGCAATCTGTCCTCCTGTCTTATGTCAGTGGATGATCCAGGCAGACTTCCATACTTCATTGTACACGCTAAATATTTCAGTGCTACTGGCGTACAGGTTTTCCTTATGTAAAAAAACCATTTTTCTTTGTATAATATTTTAACTAGTGGAGTTTTAGCAGCTTCCCTCGGCATGTTTTTCCATAAACGGAGTAGAAAATGTAGATTTCAGAAGATGGGGATTGTTTCTCTGAAGTGCTTGTTAAGGCAATAACTTTTATAGGCCTCTGGCTGATCTGCACTAATTTGTAAGAACTTTTGTATGTTCAGGGAGTAGAGTGTGTTACTTTGTCGAAAGTTAGCTCAAAAAGAGTCATTAGGATGTTTGTTCAGGCTTTTGTGTTAGCTTTAGTGTAAGGGAATTGTGTATAAATTATTTTTCAATTTGATTTGTTGCTAAGCAAATAACCACTACAATTACTGCCTATATCGTTATATATTTTTGCATATTTATTTTAAGACAATCATGGATATGAAAGTTCACTTTTAGAGATGTATTTATCATGTGTATTTTTTGTAGTTTTTGGCAAAAAAGGTATCTCACTTTGTTCAACCAGTCTGCGGTGTACTATCAACTCCCGATTGTTAAAACCAAAAATGTTATGTTCATTTAATCATATCTGCACATTTCCTTTTTGTGACGTAAAGTTTTTTTTCTTCTAAAAGAAATAAAGTGTGGCTCGAAGAAGCGGTCCTTTGTGTTCGTCTTCCTTTTTCTGTCCGATTTGCGAAATTGACTAGAAATTACATTTACCTGCATCAACTTTAACAAGTATCATAAATTAAAAGCTCCCGTGTAATTCTTTTTGGAACAATTCGAGCCGTTTTAGGATTAAATATAACAGATTAGTTCAAACCTGCAGGCCGGGTGGACGCCGGCACGCGCTGCTGTTTGATCCGACCCCGCGGAGCATTCATATCGACTACATGATTTAAAAGAATTCAAAACAGTATTATCATAAGTATTATTTGTATTATTATTATTATCATCTGTAGTTTAGTGTTAAGTCTAAGTTGCTGCAAAAAGAAAACAGTTACAAAAATGTATTCAACGTCTTTCGAAAACTGCCTGCTTGTTAAAGCGATATTTTACTGTCAGCGGCCCGGCAGTTCAATACATCAAGACGATTTCATTTAGAAAGAAAGCAATCGATTGAGCCTCCAGCTGCCCGATAACCCGTTTTGCCTTAAATGTCTTTTAATCCGTGCATGAGACGAAATACTCTGTACGGTCAATTCGGATAAGGAAACACGACACTTTATATCATTGGCTTCCTTTACAGACTTAAATGTTGTTTTTCAACTTCATCCCGTAAAAGGTTGGTCTCTGGCTTATTCCTGTCCCAGCTGGACTACGGTGACACCATTTATAGATTTGCCTGTCCCACTGTCTTGGCCAAACTTGACCCACTCTACCATGCTGCACTGCGTTATATATCAAATGCACCCTATAGGACTCATCATTGCACACTGTATAGCCTAACTGGATGGTCCTCACTCACTATGCGTAGGATGCAGCATTGGTTTTTATTAATGTGTAAAGCCATTTTAGGAAAGCTTCCACTCTACATATGTGCCAGATTTGCTCCAGTTTGTGACTTTTACAACCTCAGATCCAGTGCCTGGATACGGTTCCAGGTTCCTGCTGTGCGGACTGAGGCTGGAAAAAGGAGTCTCTTTTATTATGGTCCTTGGTCTTGGAATGACCTTCAATCACGCCTCAAACTGACGGCACTTGTCTCTATAGCCTGTTTTAAATTGAAGTTGTCAGAAGTCCTTACCACCAGCTGCTCTTGCAGTAATAAGTAGTGCCTTTCTTACTGTCCTAATATGCACAATGTAGTAACTGCTTTTTCGTCTTTTGTTGAACAGCGCCCAATATCACAGAATGTTACATTGTCCTCAAGTGAGGACTTTCACAAGTTTGTACAGAATATACAGTAATGACAATACGAAACCCTCTGTCCGTAGAACCCTCACATCAGTACAAGGAAAAACTTCCAGAGAAAACCACAAGTTATAAAGAGAAAAATGGGAGAAAACCTCAGGGAGAGCACAGAGGAGAGGATCCCTCTNACTGGTTTTCGGACCCCCCCATACCCCCCCAATAAAGCAAAAATGCACGTTTCAGAGTGGCCTTTTATTGTGGCCAGCCTAAGGCACACCTGTGCAATAATCATGCTGTCTAATCAGCATCTTGATATGCCACACCTGTGAGGTGGGATGGATTATCTCGGCAAAGGAGAAGTGCTCACTATCGCAGATTTTTTCAGATTTCAGAACAATATTTGAGAGAAATGGTTATTTTGTGTATATAGAAAATGTTTTAGATCTTTGAGTTCATCTCATGAAAAATGGGAGCAAAAGCAAAAGTGTTACGTTTATATTTTTTGATTGATCATTAAAGTGTTCTCAAAGCTGGTAAAGGTGCAGCTAGTCTGAATGACTTTGTATACTGCAGGGTAGCTTGTGAATTTACTCCCGGTGGAACTAAAGTCAGATTTAACACTTGATTATATTTCACATCATTCATCCAAATCTGTAAAGTAACTAGAGGTATTCAATCAAAGTAGTGGAGTAGAAGTTCAAAGTAGCATAAAATGGAAATACTCAAGTAAAGTACAAGTATCTGAAATGTGTACTTAAGTACAGTAGGCCTACTTTAGTAAATATATTCTTGCTTAATTTCTGTGAAATTTCGATAGGCCTATTTGTTATGTTTCTTACAATGTTTGAACAAACAATATCATTAAATAAAAACATTAAATAAACTATTGTTTTATTTGAACACAATTTCAGCTGTGCCAACAAAGATCTCAATTTATAAAAGTTAGTTTTTTATTCCATCATTTTGATTCTTTTTTTTCCAAAAACACTAGAAAACAACTCTAGGTCTGTATTTCTCTACGGCACACAGCAGGAGGAAGACTTATAGTAAGGTAAGGAAGGAGAACATTTAAGTCTGCCCTTATTCCTAGACTGGACTCACTTCCAGCTGTCTGATGAGCTGCTGATAGTCACATTGTGGAGGTGCATGTTGTGAGGCCTGAACAAGTTTCTTACTGGCATCCAGGGATCTAAGGACCTTCAAAGGGATAGAAAAGAAAGTTACTAACAAGAATATTTGTATACATGCACAAAGCCATGACAGGTAGAACGCAGGTAATAATAAAAGTAAAACAATTGTATGAAGGAATGAAAGAGAAAATACTGATAGTAATAAAAGGGACATTCAAATAAAAATATTGTGGCTTCTTTTTTTCCATAAAGAAACTATTCATACTTGTTGCTTTCTTTTAGTAATTAACACGTGACGATTCCAAATAGGTAATTTTAACCACATTCTTAAAGAGGTAAGAGCCTCATTGTAATGTCATGATCAGCAAACTGACTTTACTGTCGACATCGTCCCTGCTATAACCTGTTTATTTCTTTACCTGACGTACTGATTCCTGCTCGCTGTACAGGCACAGGGTTGCGATGGCAGCTTGCCTCACTGCATTATGGGAATCCATGCATGCGGCCCTCAGAAGTAAGCTGCACATGTCTTTCTTCGACAACGAGGAAACAGCGCTGTCACCCTTCACCAGGTTTCCCAGGGCTGCACAACAGTGGCGCCGTGTGAGGGCGTCGCGGTCGTTGATCAGAGGCGCCAACATGGCCGCCGCCCTCCCTGCGTCCTCCATCCACCTGCGCCGCCCCTCATCTTCCACTCCCTGTTCTGCTATAGTACCCAAATCACCCTTACCGAGGTGAAACTTGTGTTCCTTCTCTCTGCCCCTCCCTGAAGTGTCACTGCCCTTTCTATTGGACTCTTTAAACCCTGCCCCCGCTGCAATATACCCCAGCCAGTTCCCCACTGCCCGGCAAGCCATCCTCCGGACAGGCATGCAGGGATCATGAAGACAGTTTATCATGCTTTTGAAAATGTCAGGTTTCAGTGTAGGAGGCCTGAATGGATCCACGTTTCCTATCAGTCTGCAAGCGGCAGCCCTGATCTGGTCACAGGGGTGAGTCAGAGCCTGGTGCAGTGCCGAGGCTTCCAGGTGAAGCTGAATGTGGGCGGGACAACGGGAACAACGGGCCACTAGAGACAACAGAGTCAACAGCTCCACGGCAGAGTCCCACAGTGTGTCTAGCTGCAGCAGGTCAGAGAGCAGAGAGCTGGCAGTTCTGCTCAGCGGAGTCTGACCTGCAGAAAGCTGGATGTCCCTGGGTGGCGCGAAAAAAACACAAGCAGATTTTCCGAGGCGGGAAACAGAGCGCTCGGGGTCACACAGGAGCAAGCGGCTCAGCAGGGACAGAGGCAGCTCTAATAGCGGATGAGGAAGAGATTGAATAACCTGCCAGAAAACACAAAAAACAAAATCACCCAGACAACTCGTCACAGATCAAACAGCCGACAACAAACAATGTTTTCACCAAAGCACATTAAGATGTGGAGTAGCGTGCGGCTGATGTGAGACTATTGCAGTGTTGCATCAGAGAATTATGTTTTGT